TCTAACAGCAGCTATAATATTTAGGTGTGATAGAAGGACAATCCCTGCTCCATTCCTGGAAATGTTCATGGCCAGGCTGCACGGGCTTCTGAGCAACTGGTCTAGTGGAAGATTTGCCTGCCCGTGGCAGGGGTGTTGGAACTAGAAGGTCTTAGAAGGACTAATGTCCCTTCCAATCCAAACCATTCCATGATTCCATGATTTCTGGGCTGAAAAGAGGCAGTGGGTACCCAGCATCTGTACTGCTGGCAGCCATAAGGATGTGGAACAGCAGCAAACCACTGGATTTGTCTCAGTCTGTGAGACCAAAGACACGTGGGGGTTTCTTGGGACAAGGCAAAGAAAAGTGGCTATAAAAATCAGGATGCATGACAGGAGGGTGAAGCACTATTTTAGTATGGCAGAGCAAGCGTGGCTTTCAGACCCAGCAGGATTCTATGCCAGCTGGCTTTGCAAGTGCAAAAGAAAGCAAAGCCCAGCCTACTGAGAAGAGCAGCATTCGTACCAATTAAATTCTGACACTCACTAAGCCCGTATTAGCTTATATAAATATTAATACTACTTCAGTGTGAAAATATCCAGAGTCTTTCCAAATCTAGGTGCAGATGTGACAGTTCAGAGACAGCTTCCAGAGGCAGAGCGTTACTGCTCTGCAAAGCTGTACTGACCTACATGCACTATTTCTAAACCCACATGTGAGTCCTGCCTCAACCACTGCAGCAAATACTATTTCAGGGGTACCAGAGGTCTGCCTCTGTTTAAATGGTGCCAGCAAAAGGCAAAGCAAGGTGTAAGCAGATTTTCCAGACACACAAGCAAAATTTTAGAGTAAATTAATTAATAAGAATGTGCACAAGAGTGAAATCTGGTCTGTTGACGTGTTAGGTAAAGAATCTCTTAAGTAATCTACATTAGACTGAAGAGAAGCTTACTGGGTTTGTTCGAAATATGTTAACACTAAACAAAGTAATGCAATGGCTTGAATTAAAATTTGTTTTTTCCAGAGCACAGAAACATAATAAATCAACGCAGTAAATTACCCCTGTGCTGTGAAATTAACACCCATATACATGAAATATGAGTAAGAATTTACAGCTCTGATCAATTTTTTTATTAACTCCATCTTTTGTTTTATTTACCTTCATCCACGTGACTCTCACCCAAGAGGGCTGAATGTGGCACTCCTGGGGGCTGGTCAGCCCAGCTGCTCTGGCAGCAGCTCTGCCGTCGTCCCCATCTCACACCACCCACAAAGGAGCGCAGCCCTGTGACCCTGTGCTCTGCCAAAGCAACCCCAAGCCCTCCAAAGCACAAAAGTCAAGCTATGAGGGAAAGGCCTGGCTCTCCCAGCAGCCACATCAGGGTTTAGACTGACTCGCAGCTGCTGAAGATACTGAACTCCAGGAATGCCTCCCTTGCTTCTGTGTGTATACACAGCTGGGAAACAAATGCCCAGGGGAATGTCTTTCCCTGTAGTCATGTAACCCCTAGAGTCACCCCAACTTTATGAAAAAACATGTTTCCTACTCCCCTTGCAAAACTGTGCTTTTGCAATATATTCCTCTCGCCCACTATAAAGGAAAATCCCATCTTGCTCTCTTGGATCTGCTGCACTTAGGCTGCAGCGTCCACCAGTTAGCAGAACAAGGCTGCCTTGTCCTCCTGTGTAAATGATTTATGGTTTCACACGTGCTCATGTGCTTCACTATTCACTTAGGACTTGTACCTATGAATATCAGCTCATGAGATAGAAGTGCGTACCAAGGCGCAAACTGATGCTTGGCTGTATTTCAAAAAAAATATCAAGGTGAGGAAAAGAAAAGGCCTTCATGGGAGGTTGCCCACACTGCCTTTCCATTCCTGACACACATGGGCGGGCTGCTCATGCTCCCGTCGTCTTCCCTGGAGCACCCATATAAACACCAAGCCCAAAGAGGAGGGCCCTTATCACCTTGTACTTGTGCCCCCACAGCAGAATCAGTCCCCAGTGAGAGCATGCCCAGGGTGACTTCAGTGCCCAAATCAGTGGCTTTTTAGCAGCTCTTCATTCCTGCTGGAGCAACTCTACATCTCTCTAAAATCCACAGAGCACAACGCAGGTAATAATCCTGAAAGGTCTGAAGCCTGCCTTCAAACAGATCCAAATGCACGTGACATCATTTGCAGTTGGGCTGCCTAAAATAGCCTGCACGAGCTGTGCCAGTCTATAAAAATGTAGGAAGTGACAACTTGTCTATTAAGAGGTTTCTTCTATCTACAGATACAGAATACAAAGAGTAATAATGTTGCTTCTGCTATCCATATAATCAATCATGAGTGCAAGAATTGGCTGCAGTTATGATCCTGAATTAGAACCAGGAACAAAACCCGGACTCCCTGTGTCCCCACTTGATCAGACATGTAGTGGTCCATGTGTCACCAGAAACCTGCCTGACCTGTATGAGCTACTAGGCAGCTGAAAGTGAGCTCCAGAGGAAGGGAAACATGGTCACTGCTGATCTCCAAAGACAACTGAGAACATCCCTATGCTCCAGCAAACTCCCCATCTCTTCTGTCGCTTCCCATCAAAAGATGTAAAAAATGCAGGATGCTGCCTTCGTGTTGACTCTCAGCAGTGGATTACTCACAGGAGTGAGATGCCAGTTTGCTGGCAGTGTTAAAACTTCCAAAGTGACACAGAAAATAAAAGATCCCCTTTCTCAAATGACTGTTCTCCCCCGACACCAGATGCATGCTCATTCAGCCCACGTATACAGCAATCGCAGCGTATTTGGGTTCACATTAAACCTTTTCATCTTGATTATACAGCATGCTGTCGCATTTAGGGCTGCTGTGCAGTGTGCTATGTGAGTTACTGCTGTGCTGAATCCCAGCAAGGGTACGGGGCTGGCAGGCTATGAACCTCTTCTGTGCGTGCAGAAGTCTCCTGTACAAAACAACTGGAGTGTAAATTACTGTCTGAGAGAAAACTAGTGCACTGCAGGGAGATGGCTGAAAGGAGCCTTGCCAGAGACCCCCAGGGGCACTCTCTAGGAAAATCTATTATGCTTTTATTTCTCGGACATCAGCATCCCATCAGGAGAAAGCCTTCTGATGTCAAGGCCTGGCGCTCCCCTTTAGGAAAAGAGATCTCTGCACATACACTCTCTGTCAGCCTCATCGTTTTCAAAACAAACTCCAAGAGGCCACCTTGCCCAGTTCTCACTGCTCTGTGTTTGGCACTGAATGGGACAGAAAAGGGGTGATTTATCCTCCCTATAACAAATCACAGCCAGTCACTAGCAAGGATGCTCACTGAGTGTAAGGGGGGGCCCTTTGGGACGCAGCAAAGGGGGGCCCTTTGCCCAAGCAGCAAAGTTACTTATCCTGAAGCCTTTAAGCTCTCAGACAGCAATTTCCATAGTGCAAATGAAGATTAACCACTGTCAGTGTTAACTGTGAGAATAGGATCTCACTGTTAGAGAAGAGTGTCCTGCTTGCTCTCCAGAGGGACAAAGAGCCAACCCACAGGGTGTGCTACCAAGCTAGGGTACTGCAGGGCTGCCACGTGCCCGGCTCCAATCCCTGTCACAGGCTCACCCTTGCAGATAAGCAGGGCTGTGCTGAGCAGATTGCTCTGCAGGAGGAGCTGATGGAAGGGAAGCACAAGCATTAAACACTGTGAGTCCTAACTCTGCTACTTTGCCCAGATGGGATTTATGGGGTGGGGAGGGGGAGAAGGGATGCAGATGGAAGAGCATCTTTGGCCATTCCAAGTGTTAAAAATAAGTGAGATATGCGCCTTAGGGCTCAGCAGATTGAACACAGTGATTATACATTCTCCATAATTCTTCACCTGGGCTTATGCCTGAGAAGATCCTGACCCCTTCTTATGCCACACATTGCAATAGGATTGCCCAACCAAATGTTGAAAACCTATTTAGTGAACATTATTTCCATACACAAAATTAAAAATGCTCCTTCTCATGTATATATTCCTTCTAGCTTTTTAGCTGTTTAGAAATTTAGCAGAAGATATAAATAAACTTTGGAAAAAATCAAAACTCCAGAACAAAACTAGGACCATGAAAACAAGCAGCAGCACTGTGTGAATTCTCTGAACTGCATTCATAAAGAATAGGATATTGCTCTGAAAGATACCCTCAACTCTCCAGCTCCAGTTTATGCTGAAGGGTCCCCAGAAGCCCAATGAGTGAGAAAAGCTGAGTACATGCTGGAGTGAGAAACACCAGCTGCCAAGCACAGGTAGGCACCCAGCAGGTGCCCACACATCCAAGATCTCAGGCTACATCTCCTGGGGCAATTTCTTTATCAGCCTCATTCAGCAAAGGCACCTGGGGTAACAGACACGTGCAGAGCTGCTCTGCATGGGTGCCATGCTCCACTGCCAGCTAACAATAGGATTTTAACTTAAAACAATCACCATTTCTGCCACGCTGCACCCACAGGCTACAGCCCCAGCAGCTGTAAATCAATGGAAACACACAGATTCTTTTTAAAGGCCAGAGAGATGTGTAGGTCACGTAAACTGTCTTTTTGTGTAAAGAAAGCTGTAGAATTAAATCCACCTACTTCAACGTGGAGCCTTATTACATGTGCTGGCCAGACATCATGTCACTCACTCCAGTGGTGCTACACCGGCCAGTAAAGAATGAAATTGCTCTGTAACCTGCAACAGCTTGAATCTGCTTCCTAGCACCGCACTGCCGACTCAGTGCAGCAAAGTCTGACCCCTGTAGACACAGGGAAGAAGCCAGCAGCGATTCAGTGACCCAGGTCAGAGTGACTGCTGCAGCAGCACGTCTGCAGCACATCATCTGCCAGTGCGTTCGCACACCGATGCAAAGCAGAATGCTTCAGACACTACAAGATGTTGCAGTCACAAAAGCCACCAGAAAACAGAGGTTTGGAAAGCAAACCAGTGCACCCTGAAGGGGTGAAAGCCAATAAATATGTAAATTGCATTTTCCCACTGCCCTGAGGCAACAGGGTTTTGTTACCTGTTTTGGGATTGATTACAAAGAAGTTCTGGGGATTTCCACTTGTAATCCGGTAAGTCAGTTTTTCATTAGTGCTGGAGTCAGGGTCCTGGGCTTGGATCTGAATGACAGATACATCCTTTGGGGAGTTTTCCATGACAACTGGGTAATAGATAGGCTCAGAGGTGAGAGGGGCATTGTCATTCACGTCCTCCACTTCAATGTAGACTTCAATGGTAGTGTAGAGGGGGACAACCCCATGATCAGTGGCATACACCGTCAACCAGTAGGATTTGGTCGTCTCCCGGTCAAGAACATCTGCTGTGTAGATAACTCCTGCAGAAAAACAGCAAGCAGAGGATGTCACAAATAGCATCAATAAGACATCACATCTATTTTCATTTGGCTGTGCGACAGAAATGTGTCCAGCATATGACAAAGGCTCCACCCGCAGAAAAATTCAAGTTGTCCAACACATGAAAACAGAAGCCTGAGATCATGAATTGTTTTGTGAACTCAGCTCAACATCTCAATCCTTTGTCCCAAGAAACTGAGAGGGAGGGAAGGTAAAAGGATGGCTGTTCATAAATGCCCTAATGCCACAGTCATTTATTTGCTAGAACTGCAGCTGACAGAGTAACAGAAGAAAAACCATCATTTTCTGCCTTGTGATGCAAACTTGTATAAACCTTGGTAGGGAGGGATGCTGTTGTATCGTGCCTTTTGTTGTATCAGTGGGTCTATGGTTTGATTTGTGATTTAGTGCTTTTCCTGGTGCTGGTTTTTCCTTTTGTCTCCACCCTTTCCCCAGAAATGTCGTCAGCTAGTTTCTAGTTTCTATTTCTCCAAATTTTACCCATTTCCTAAAAACTGTTTTTCTTCCTTGGAAGTTTATTGGTTCGCTCCTGTTATTCCCCGCCTGGGTTTTTACTCCCAACTCTCCTGATTTGTTGGAAGTTGGGTCTGCCCCTGCCTTTCCCCTGAGATATAAGTCTTTGTCGGCCCCTTAGTCGGGGCCCAGGAAGAAAGAGGGGAAGAAACACCATCAAATAAAGTTTCCCTGGGACCCCTGTGCGCTGCCTGTGTTTTATACTGCGCCGAAACAACTGACAACTGGGATTCAAGGAGCTCCAGGGGGAAAACTGCCGCCCCTCACTCTCACATCAGCTAGCGGGGAAAGAGAAGCGGCAGATGCAATCACTGACAATGAATTGCGCAAAAAAAAAAAAAAAAAGGCTTTTCTTTCCTAGTTCCTGCCTGTGCCCTTGCTAAAGAAGAAAACCTAGGAGGCAATTTAAAATTAATCCATCCAAGTTCAGAAAATAGACAGTAAATTTAAAATTGAGCTCACTCATTGCACAATGCCAAAATCCTGGATAACAATCAATCAGAAGCTCAAACAGCAGCCCTTAGACAATGAATATAACAAATATATTTCTATCCTTTTTTATCCCAGAGGAAGGAAAGGCTTGGCCACTTCACCTACTGGTGTAAGAAAACATCAGTTGGTTTGCCACCTGGTCCTAAGAAACAAAAGAGAAAGTCTGTCTGTGTATAAGGAGATGGAAATGTTCTCAATATACATGTCATAGAAGTGGTGAGGAAGTGCATTTTCTTATTTTGACTCTGGTGTGATTCTGGCTCGGAGCCACAGAGAGGGATTGAATTACCAGCCCTGTGCCTGAACTGTCCTGGCATGAGGGACTTCCACCCACCTCATTTCTACCTGAAGGGCTTTCGAAATCCATCCTCCTCCTGACATGAACACCTGGTTTGTGTCTGGTTGGAACCAGATGACCGTTCAGGACCCTTCTAAACCAAACCACTCTGTGATTCTACGATAAAGCAGAAAGTCTGCCACTCTAAGACTTGCTTGTATTGGCATAGTCCAAAGCTTCACTGGCTTAAGCACCGACCATGAGTGCACAGAGGACCAAATACACCAGTACCACACACAAAATCACACCAGCATCAAAATAAGCAAATGCACTTCCTCAGCACTTCTATGACACATGTGTCAAGAACATTTTCGTCTCCTAATACAGCATTGTTAATCTTGAGAGACACAGTAATGCAGTGGATCTCAAGCTTAAGAAATACTCAAAAGGACTGTTTGCAAACCACCAAATCATGTCATTAGTAGATGGCAAACGATGGAGAAACTGCAGGGCAAAACTGTAGCAGGCCCAGGGCCTGCAAGGCCTCCTTGGCGGTCAGAAGCCTGAGCTAGGAAGTGCCAGGTCACGATGACTGGGCCTCAGAAGCCCCTCTCTGCCGCCTTTCGGGCCCTGCTTATCTCTCTGTAAGCCTATAGGTCACTTTCCCCTGACCCTTACTATTGGACAGTTTCCAAAACCCCTGTAGGGTATAAAAACCCCTAATTCTGCCTGGTTCGGCAGAAGAGCAGTCACCGAGAACCTTCGTGGAAGACCTAATAAAGAATCCTGCAGAACCTTATACAGCTTCTTCTCCTCTCTCTCCCTGCGTCTGCTGCTGCGGCACAAGCAAGCTCAAGAGCTGAAATCACAGGGAGCTGATAATCACTGAGAGCTGAAATCACTACCGCTTGCTTGGCTGCCCGCAGCTGGGAACTGCTTGGGAATTTGGCCACTGTGCTGAGCCTCCACTGGGTTATCCTGGCCACAGCAGTCCACCGGGCATAGCCCGGCTGGAAACTGCCGCGATACAACACATGAACACAAGAAAACTGAATTTAGTCTCAGATGTGTTTGACGCTATTTAGAACAAAATTATCAGGTAATCATTGAGGACAGAGCTGTTCTAAGGTCAGCATTAATAAAAGATATCTGTGTCTTTTTGGCTTTGGGGTTTTTTTAAGGATCTGACTGCACTGTTTCCATGACAGCTTCAAGTCTTAGAACTAAGTTTTCAAGGTAGCACAGAACCCAACTACACAGTCACAAAGATGCCACATGTATTTGCTCTTCTCTTCTCTTATAAGATACTTTTTTTTTTTTTTTTAATACTACGATTATTTTTTCCAAGCTTTGGATATTTTTTTAATGTCTTTTAATGCTGCTTTGAACGGACAAGTATACTCCTAACATTTGATCAGCCATGTAATAGAGGAAGGGGAAAGGAGCAGCACTGATTCTGGTCATGTATGGGCTTAGGTCGTTTCGCAGTAACCTCAGATCCATGTCCTTCTGACACAGATGTATTATTCACCCATTGTAGGTGAGCAGGGCAGCAATGGAGGACAAAAGCAGAGTGTATTCTAAATATTCTTGTTGGCAGCAATCTGTGCTATGTAATGAGTTTCTGTAGAAACATAGGTGAAATATATGGTGAACTGTGATGAAAAAAGCCTGCAAGTCCAGAAGAGAAATTACACTGCAAGGATGAGAAGTGCCCATAACAACCCACAGAAATAAATAAGTAAAATAAATCCACATAGGAAAGAATGAGGGGGAAAAAAGATGAATATTAGTGATACTAGAGATGATGATTTATTCAGAAGACAAGAATAATTATTTTACATCTTTAAACAAAATTTGAAATAAATAGGGTTCTCCTCCAGGGAGAGCACAGAAGGTTTTAGCAGATTAACCTATGTTTATGAAGCTGAATTTCACTGATACTGAGGTGATAATAAATCTATCTTCTGAGTCATTCCTTCATTTTATAACTCCTGGCAACAGTCACTTTTCATTTCTGTATTTGAGAAGGGAAGGATCATTGAACAAGCATTGGCTACTGCCAACAGGTATGCTACACTGGTTCTTACTTTTACTTTTGATTTATTAAAAGGTCCCAGATACAATTAATTCCTTTTCCTCAATAAGTCTTGTCGTTTCACCTGTCAACACCACACAACAGTTTGATAAATAAGAAGACTATTGTGCACTTTCAGGTTTTCCACATGGAAATCCTTTCATCATCCTGGGAATACCTTCTACCATGCTCTTCAACATTCTGTACAAAATGCCTCCTTGCTGTACACCCACATATGGATATAAAGGTAGTACCCACAAGAATACACAAGCTGCCCAAATATTTAGTGGATCACTCCACACAGGTGTGGATGACATCCTTCCAGAGGGATGTCAAATGCCAGCTTCACATGAGGTGTTAACCCTTATGAGTAATGATGATATTTGGTCATCAACACTGCTTCTTCATCACCATGGCATGAATGCAAAGAGGCTGACAGAGCTGAGATCAGGAGCTGCAAATTATTCCCTGGGCAGTCCACAGATAGGCTCTCACTCTAGCGGAGAGAAAGGAGGGGAATATCCTCGCATAAAATCACAAATTCAGAAAACACATAACTTACTTCAAAGCTCATAGATATTAACAGGTAATAGCTCCTGCTATTATAGGAACGGAAAGAAGGAGAGGCCTTTGGGAGTAGCTCTAAGGGCTTTTCTTGGATGGGTTTTTGTGGTGCACTCTTTGCAGCTGCTTGCCAATTAAAAGAGAAATATGAACAACGCCATGATGCCTAAACTAAAAAATCAAGAAAAAATACCTGTAGAAATCATGAAAATTTCAACAGGATTAAAAACCAAAAAGTTCCAAGATTTTGCAGACACATTTCTGAACAATACAGATAAAACAGATGTTCCCATCCACTGGGATGCTACACCATGGAGGCACTACAGTGTTTTTACATGAGACAGCTGAAATCCAACCACACATCTGCGAGCCAGCTCTTTATGTCGCCCTCGGCTGGATTTTGCAGTATCCCTGGAGCCAGCACTACCTGAGGCCCAAGGCAGCCTCAGAAATCAAGCCAGCCATCAAGCCAAAAAGCAGAAATATAGCCAGCCAACAATCCAAAAAGCAGTGTCACTGCACTCCTCCAAGTACATATGTCCCATGCAATTTGCCAACCACCATGTGCATTACAAACACTGTAAGTGAAAAATAACAACAGAGTGCATTAGTTGCTGAATAAAATACTCAGCACATTTAAATGTAAATTAAGTGCAGCCCTTGGGCTCGGCAATGTGCCAGCAATGCAAAGGTTGTGTGCTTGTTTCTCTTTAAGGCTTGTTTTCCCTCTTTCCCTGAGAAAATAATGGGATAATGTTTTCTGTATGGCTCCTGCAATTGGACAAAACGAGACATAGCATTATGGAGGACGAAGAGTAAAAAAAAAAAAAAAGGAAATTATGAAAGTGGATGAAGAATTGGCAAATTGGATTTCCCTCTTTCCTCTCCCACTGATTTGCCGTACATCTGTCACCAGACCACTTCAAATGATGTGGTCCATCCAAAAAATATCTGAAAGTCACGTATTTACTATCATGATGAGAAACCTGAGAGGCTCTTAAAACAAAAAGGGGTTAGAGTAAAGCATTATTTCTTTC